AAATAACTTTCTTTACTTAAATCTATCTTAGTTAAACGTTTCTTTTTGTGCATACTTACCACTAAGTGGGATCTCAAGCTGAAAGAGATCTGTTTGAAGCTGAGGCCAATTTTGCGGTTTCGATTCAGACTCCAAGTGTGTGTTGTGTGTGTGCCTTATAAATGATCTTTTCCCTGGTTTACCCCTGGTTTTTCCCCCCTTTCTGACAATGATGATGATGATGATTCCAGCGCGTGTCTAAGCCAAAAGCCCAGAAGCATTTATCACAACTGCAACGACAGTTACAGTTGCTGGCCAAAACTACAATTACAGCTTGTACAATCCGAAAATGCTGGACAGCAGCCGTGAGTGATGATGAATGGATGCCTGGCGGAAGGGGAGGGGGAACTGATGAGCTGGCATCCCCCATAACCACGCCCACACATCTCCCACGACAGCCTCTACCTCACACTCATCGCTCTAAATGCCATTTAATGTTAACAAATTCATTTTTGGCGACAAACGGAAACGGAAACGGAAACAACGCAAAAAGCAAACTGTTACACTGAAACGGAAGCCTCAAAAAGCGAATATTTCGTATAAAATTAAACTAAAATCCTATAGAAATTGACACAATTTAAATCTCTTCTAAAGCCTTATTCATATTATATTAATTTGATCTTGAAATAGATCTTTATAAGCCCAGGGTTTCTGTCATTATTTTAGTCACTGTGCAGATATTTTGCTGAAAATACTAGCCTGACCTGGGCATCTCTTCCTGTCCATCACTCACCGGCTGACCCCTTTGACCTCCAGCCCTTGACATAGCCTCATCCCCCACCCCCCCGTATGGGTCGGCTGCCAACTGATAAACGAACGTCACACGTCAGGACTTTTGGGCAGTTTGCAGCAGGAACAGGAACAGGAACAGGACCACGACCAAAGAGAGAAACTCGTCCTGGCTCGACGCTTTTGTGGATTGATGGCCCTGGACAGATTGAACGCCACACACTCACTCGCACACATACACACACACATCGGCTACTGATGGACATTTAATATGCGTTTTAGACAAGCTGTATGTGCGTGTGTGTGTGTGTGTGTCCGCATCCGTGTGTGAAGTGCAACACATCACAAGGCAACGCTCAGCTGCCCCCGATGGATACAGTGGACACAAGAAGCATGTTTCAGGGTACAGTAAGGCTTTAACACTCAACGAAGATTACTTTTGGGGGGTGTAGAAATTGGAAATATATTATTTTATATAGTAAAATTAAAGAAAATAATATAAATAAGGTGCAATATAGTAAAATTAAAGAAAGTAATATAAATAGGGTGCACAGTGGACTTAAGAGAACGTATATACCTATTTAAATCATAGGGCGTTATGCATCTTTATTCATTTATTCATTTATGATTTATGATAAAGCTATAAGATTGTACTACTAGTAAAATGAGGGAAATTATAATATATAAAATGCATAACGCATTAAGAGAGTCTGCAGGCAACTCTAAAATTGGAAATATATTAATTTATATAGTAAAATTAAAGAAAATAATATAAATAAGGTGCACAGTGGACTTAGGAGAGCGTATATACCTATTTAAATCATAGGGCGTTATTCATCTTTATTCATTTATGATTTTTGCTACGAAATCAGCTTATTTAAATATACATATATATTTATAAAGCTATAAGCTTGTACTACTAGTAAAATGACTGAAATTATAGTACATAAAATACATAACGCATTAAGGAGCCTGCAGGCAGCTCTAAAAGTATCTTAAGGCTTTATGCATCTTGTTTACTATATGATTTTTGCTACGACATAAGCTTAGCAGAGCTACCTTAGCTTAGCTATAAATTATTTCCATCTTTAGTTTTAGATTACTAATAATTCAGAGGTGGTATATTCTACAGTATCCACTGTAATCGATGCATATGCGTGTGTGTGCTCTCATGACCATGTCTATGTCCATGTCCATTTCCATGTCCAAGTGCGTGCCCCGTTTTGCAACGCCTGCAGATGTGGATATATGGATGTATGTTGGCCATGGCTATGGCTACATCGAGGGGGGTTTGCCTGAAATTCGTCATGGCTGATGTTGTTGTTGTTGCTGCTGCTGCTGCTGCTGCTGCTGCCGTTGCATGCAACAGCAACATCCAACGCAGCAGCAGCAACAACAGTGTAGGGCATTGTTTTGCATTAAATGCTATCTACGTTGCCGTGTCCAGGACTCCATCTCTCCTATCCTGGCCCCCCCTTTCACATTGTTGGCAGTCCTGTTTTTGGTCGTAGGTGTGAATGCGCGCACATGTGTCGAACAAAAGGCACTGACTTCCCAGCACACACACGCACACATAGGAACACACACTCATACTGCACACACCGCACAGAGCCACCCCTCTGTCTCGACATTAATAATGTGTTGTCCCGATATTAGCCACGCATATTAACTTGGCCAAGTGTGTGCGTGTGCGTGTGTTTGGCCGAGGAGCGATTAAAGACGCTGCCCCGCACAGATGAGCTCACCCTGCTAATGGCCGCTCGGGATTATGCTTAAAACCCGAGTTGTTAAAGCGATAACTTTGATGGGATATATATTAGAGAAAGGTGCTTAATGTTCAGTTTAAGGGTTTAAAAGTTCTTTAAATGTTAGGTGAACTTTAGTTTAATTCGATATTTTAATGTCTAGCAGAAGGGACTAATTTTAAGTTTAGTTTTATATTGAAATCTTTAATATATATATTATATATTTATATCTATTCATTCCCGCGCCAGAGTATTATAATTTCAGTTAGAATTATGAAACGCAGTGAAGAAGTCATTTCCGACCCCATAAATCAAATATATTCTTAATCAGCATTAATTGGCGAATCAATCTAGACATGTCCGGTAGAACAAATTTTTTGAAATATTTTTTTGAAAATTTTATAAGGAGTTGCATCATTAAAGTTGTCCAAAAATTAAATTTTAGTATGCATATTTGTATGCCTAATAAAAACTAACTTAGAAAAGCTTTCCGATTGAATATGAATGAGTTTTTGACTGAGTTATGATGGATTTTCACTGCTAGGGTATAGGAATTTCGGTTTCCCGACGTTAGCTTCCTTAATTGTTTATTTATATTGTTATATATATTAGCTAGCTGTTGAAAATTAAGTTAACAAGCTAAAATTAAGGTTTTTAACCTTCATACTTTCAGTACAAACTGTATGAATTTCGCATGAGTAAATAAATATTTCTAATAGATTCTTTTTCATTTTCTATACTTACTTTTATAACTAAATGACTTACCATCTAAATCTGAAAAAAATTCCCCTTTAACCCCTTTAAGCCCAAATGCAAGACACAATGTTGTATAATTTTTTTTTATTTTATATATATTTTTTTTCTCATCAAATGTTTCTTTCATTTCCATTTTTGTTTGTTGCTCTTCATCATCATCATCATCTTCGTCTGGTTCATTTTAAATTTTTTGTTTTTATATATTTAGGTTTTTGTTAACAATTTGTGTTTATTTATTATTGATTTTCCCGCTTCTCTCCTCTACTCTCCTCACTTTGCCTTGTCTCGTTTGCTATTTTTTTTTGCGAATTCCATGCCCATTCTCATTTATTTATTTATTATTATTATAATTCACTTTTGTTTCTGTCCTTTCACATTTTATTATTATTTTTATCGCTTGATGAATATAGGGATTTAGTTGTCTGTGTGTGTGTTGTTGTTGTTGTTTTTCGGGGGCTTCTTCATTTAGTTGTTGTTGCTGTTGTTGTGTATGCATCAATTAATAAACTTACGCATTATGCTAACACTAAATACTTTTTACAATAATAATAATAATAATAATAATAATCCATAATAATAATATCAATTGAAAACGCAAAAATTGTTAGCTTGGGGAAAATTTCTCCTTTTCTTTTTTTTATCTTTTTCTCTTCTTGTTTTTTTACGTTTTCTTTCTTTATTTTTTGTTTTTTTTTATGTTTCATATCGCTTGCTATATCATTATAATTGGAAATTTATATAGTTATGCCCATATACATATACATATCTCTAGTGTATATGTCGAATTGTGTTTAGGTGTCATCCTTTTCTAGGTTTTACATTTAGTTTTTCCTCCTCCAGCATCCCATTCTCTGCTTGTTGCTTTCCTTCTCCTCCTTTTTCTCCTCTTCTCTTCATTTGTTTATAATAAATTACGGTTGCTTACTCGCTAAGACCACAAAAAAAAAAAAAAAAATAGTTTAGTTTAGTTTGCTATGTGTTTTTTCGTCTTTTTTTTAGGTTTCCTCGCTTAATTTTCCTTTTATTTTTTTTTTATTTCCGTGTACGTGTTTGTGCCGATTTTTTATAGCTGCTGGTATATATATATATTTATGTATATATCTGGTAAATATATATATAGACTTAGAATCTAGGTGAAACTACACAAGTACATGCCTAGTTACGTTTATGTTGTTAGACAACGATTATATAATATATATATATATTTTTTATATATATCCATATTTTGTAATAATATTAAAAAACGGTGTCGTTAAAAAAAAATGCAGGCAAAAAAATAAAAAACAATTTTAGAGTTACGAATAAAATGTGCTAATGTACAAAAAAAAATATTTATATTTATATACTCTTTATAGAGATTTTTTGTGGCTACAGATTTCCTTTTTAAGTTTTTTTTTTAGTTTTCCCATCTTTTTTTGTAGTAGTATTTATACACTGATACACATAAATAGTTTTTTTTTGTTTTGTTTATAAATTACAGACAAGACGTTTAGTGGTTTAATTTTTTTTGAGTTTTCTTTTTTGTTTAAGAGTTGTTTTTTGTTAAAAAAATTTGTTTACTATGTGCAGCGCCCATTCTTTTTTTTTCTTAGCGTTTTTAATTTTTTGTTTTTTTTACATTTAGAGAGCCTTTCTTTGTCTATTTTGTGGGTTTCCTTTAGGTTTTTTTTTTATAATTTACAAATATTTTGGCGCCGAATTTGAAATAAAAAAAAAAATAGCACAGTTATTATAATAATAATAACAAAAACAAAACGCTGCAGCAGCTGAGCGGCTGAGAGAGCAGTGCCAGCGAAGAGACTCTCCCTCTCTATCGCTCTCTCTCTCTCTCTCTCTGTCTCTCTCTCGGGGAGCCTCTCTCGCCGAGGCTTTGATGACTCTGTCTCGCTCTCAGCTTGCCGCCAGTTGGCCAAGTCTGCAAACAGAGCGAGACGGCCATAGTGCTAGCGACCGTTGTGGGGGCGGGTTTTTTTTTCCTTCCTTCGCTCTCTACTCCTCGCTCTCTGCTCGCAGCAGCCCTCTCAGCCGCGTTGCTGCCAACTGTTTCGTATATTACCAAACGAGCCCTTCATTTTGCATATTCTGCGGTTCGCTGAAATTCGCCGAGCTCATGAACTCCGGCGAATTGGTTCGGGGGCCATTTTGTTGTTGCTGCTGTTGTTGTTGCTGTTGCTGCTGCTGCGTTTGATTCGCCGCTTGTTGCGCATTCTGCTGCTGCTGCGCCGCCGCCTGTTGCTGCGCCGCTGCGGCAGCGGCCATCAGATGCTCGGCACTCGGCGGTGGCGGCGGCGGCGGCGGTCCAACTCCAACGCCAACGCCAACACCGACGGCGGACTGCAGTTGCATTGGCGGAGCGCCCGCTTGGCCCAAAAACGTCGATTCGGGCGTCAGTCCGAATTCGTTAACCATCGGTATGGGGCCACTATGGTCCATGGGGCCGCCTAAGGGTTAAAAGGATCGTGAGGAGGAGGAAGAAGAAGAAGAAATAGATGCGTTAGTTTTTTTCAAATATAACAGTTATCGTGTTATCTATGATTCGTTTTTTTTTTAACCTTTACAGGGTATTTTAATATAATTTTAGTTATAAGCTTAAAAAAAATTCAAAGGAGTCATTTCCGACCCTAGAAATCATATATATTCTTGATCAGCATCATCAGCCGAATCGATCTAGCCATCTTAGGCAAAGAATTTTTATTTTTAATTTTTCCAAATTTTTTAAGGCGTTTAAGTTTAAAAAACTTGAAAAAAAATTACATTTTTTTAGATTTTAAACTGAGTATGCAGATTTATTTACCTATTAAAAACTAACATTGGACAGCTTTCCGAATTGAAATTAATGCATTTTTGGCTTAGTTATGTTTTTTTTAAGCTTTGATTTTTAGAGAAAAAATAGGCATATAAAAAAAGTCGATATATATCGATAGTTTCCGATTCGATCCTTTAATTCAAATGAATTTGAATTATTTATATCTCAAAGATACTATTGTAAGTGAATCAAATGGGATATATTTTGTGTATTTTAATTTCTACTTTTGTTATTCTATGTTAATTCCTCTTATTATCTTACCTGGTGCATTGAACGGCATTGGTCCTCCGGGATGTCCTGGAAAGTAGGGACCATCGTGCGGGTGAAAGGGACCGCCGTAGCTAAACTCGAACTTGGAATCCGCAGCGAAATAGGGAAAGCCGGGTCCATCGTCCAGGCCGCCAGGTGAGAGATTCATGGGAAATCCACGCATTTTACGGGCGCCACCAAAGAAGGGCGGACGACCCATGCTTGTGATTTGTTTCATGCGTCGCTCCTTGGATCGCTTATTTTGGAACCACACCTGGAAAATAAGCGGGGAAAATTATAATTAATTATATTTTTTTGTAGAAATTCCTGAAAATAGAGTAAACTTAAGGCTAAAGTAATTCTTAAATCGCTTTCAAAAAGAATTGCATTTGAGGAGAATCCCTTTTTTTTGTATTGAAACAAATTGGCAGACATTTCGATGAGGGAAAATGTTTTTACTGGCGGATCCTTGGGGTCTTGTGATGCACCACCGGTTTATGGAGGCGCATGTCTAATTGCTGTGGCTTTGCAGATTCTTCGGGAGATTCTGTTGCCGCTGCTGCTCTTTTGCTTTTTTGCATTGATGCTACCGCCGCCGCACCGGGCGGCCGTCGCAAAATTAGCTTCATTTCCCTCTCCCCTCCACCTCAAGCAACTTGAAGACAGAAGACTGAAGACGCGTCTACGAAGAGACTGCAGAGGAGACTGGCTATGCCATTTTTACGACTGTGGGTTTTTCGGACTCTTTGGTACGGTACGGTTCGCTTCGCGCTTGTGCTTTTTCCTTTTTGCATTTTGCATTTTGGTTTTTGCTTGGTTTTTTGGTTTACGTTACGGGTGCTCCAGAAGCACCGTGCCCAGCATGCAAAGTTATAAAATAAAAACATATTTCAAAAGTTTTAGTGGCACCTTTCGGGGCAGCCGACCTGATCCGATACGATACGATCCTTTTGTGCCTCCTTGTGTTGTTCCCCATCCTTTTCCTTTTTTTTTATTATTATTTTTGGGCTCTTTTTTAATATTCATATCTGGGACGCGCTCATTTTAATGATCTGCTGCAAGCTTTTTTTTCTTCTGATTTTCTCCTGGTTTTATATATATTTTTCTCAATGAAATTTTATGATTTATGTCTTTGCGCTCCGCTTGTGTTTTTATTTTTGGGAGTTTTAGCTTGGGTTTTATTTTCAGTATTTTTTTGTTGGCAAATAGTTTCCAATGAATTGGGCTTAGATTTAGCTGGGTTTTTGTTGTTTTTATATTTTTTTTACCCACTGCAGCTGTTGTTGGCCAATTTAAGCGTGAATTTTAATGATGAGCGCCGCCGTTCTGCAGTTCATTTGAATTTATGAACTCTCGGCTTGGGATCTTGAATCTTTGGAGCCTAGACATGCATATGAGAGCTGGGCCCTTCACATTTATAAACTGACACATTCGCCGGCGCAGCGAATTTCGCTAGAAAAGACGTCTTCTCTTTATACATATGTATATTTTTTTTATTTTTCGGGGCCTGAGAAACCAAAACCGTAGCTTTTATTTTTTTCTCATATTTTGATACTGTATTTTTTATTTTGTGGCTGTCGGCAAACAGGATGCACACAAAAGGAAGTAACATGCTGTGCATAGTTGGATCCCAAACATATAGCGTATATATCCACCGTACCGAATCATTTGAGATTCCCATTCACGTTAGCCATCTTACCATCTTAAATTGTCTGTGGAGCGTGTGACTTTATGACAGGCATTCGGAAAGGGGGGAAGAGATCCCCCGGCAACATGTTGTTCCCTCTCCCCCTGGCAGAAGAATCTGCAGAAATCTAATGGGTATGTCATGCAGATCAGTGAGTAGCAAAAATGATCCTAATCCCAGTCGGTTTACATGTGATATGTGATGTGTGCTGATTCCACTTGAATTCGTTGATTTGTTGGTTAAGCTGAGCAAGGATCAGGAAAGGGTACTGCAAAGGTGCTTGGATAATGTCTAAATAATTGTAAACTGAACTTGTAGGGTTTAAAAACGAGATATTATATTATAAATACCATAAGATTCGATTTATCGCTGTTTTAAATATAGACTTAGGTAAAGATTATGAAATATAGTATCAATTTATTTCAATTTACAACCCCATACTATTGGTTCTAAGCAAAAAACCTTAGTTTACTCAAGACTAGTAACTAAATTCAAAGATATAACCCCAAAAATAACCTTTATTAACCCAAGAAGAACTAAGAAAGGTCAGAAATCCACATCGGGTTATATGGTAATGCCTGTGATAATGTCGTAAACGTGGAAAAACTCAATTCAGCAGCAAACTAAGCTCAGAAAAGAACAAATAAAAAGAAAAATACAAAAGGGAAAAATATAGAGAGAAAAAAAAAGAAGGGGAAGCCAACCAACCAACAAAGGATCCTATCCTAGAACACAGGGAGAGAGAGAGAGTATCCACATTGCTAAGCTGCCACCGCGTTTCAATTACCCGTAGTATGTAGCAATGTGTAATAAATAAACAGGGAGAGTGGGTGGGTGGGGTGGTGGGTTGGAGGGGAACCCCCCAAAAAGGAGCACCACAACCCGGGGGTCATAGAATCCCACTCACTGTGTGGCAACGGCAGTTGGCAATATTTTTCCATATCCACCATATATACGATACGATATTTGCCTCTGTGGGCCCTGCGGTCACATAATTTTTCATTTTCATATCCGCAGCAAACAAAAGAAACAACAATAGTGGGATGAAGGGGAGGAGGGGCACCAACACTACTAGAAAAGGTAAACTAAAATATGCATTTACAATAGTTTTGCATTTTATTTTTTTCCCCCTCTTTCTCTTTTTTTTTCTCTCGTTTGTGCCGAGTTTAGTTGGGGTTTTCCTCCCTTCCGTCCCATTTCAATTTTCCTTGTGCGGCACATTTTTGCATTGTTTTGTTGCGTTCACAAAGAAAAATAGCAAAAATGGCAAATGGAGTGCAACAAAAAGTGTATAACAAAGTAAAGAAACAAGAAAAAAAAATATAGTAGAAATAAACAACAACAAGAAATGCCAATTGCAATTGTGTGGGGACGACACACACAGAGAGAAAAACTAAAGCGGAGACCTCGAAATCATTATTATATAGGAAAAAGCATATATAATCTATATTATATTTTAAGAGTCTAAAGAATCATCTTAAATGCAAGACAAAGATCACCAGTTTATACTTTGACGAAGCCGAAATAATCCTATTTTTGATTTATCTTTTTATAAAAACCCTATGAAACTCTTTATAATTTCTTTCAAATTTTCTACCTTTAAATTTCAACTAATTATCTTTCATTTTAATATTTTTAAAAACCCCACATATAACATAAAACCCCCATTTAGTTTTAATTTTTATCCAAAACTTTTTTTGTACAGCTGCAAAACTTCATTTAGCGAGAATCCGCAATCAAAATTCCAGTTTTCGTTTATCCAACAAATAAAAAATACAAACTTTTGTTAGCTCGTGTTAGTTTTTTTTTATGCTTTTTTGGAAATAAATGTGGGAAAAATATTTTCCTTTGCCATTGATTTTGTTACCGTATTTTTTTCGGTTGTATATATTTCTTTTTAACCCGCGGCCACGTTATGCTTTTGTGTGTATTTTAATTTTAGTTCTGCAACTCGCTTTATTTGCCCCCCCCCCCCAAAAAAAAAATGTGTATATTTCAACGCGCTTTTCGTGCACATTGCCCAACGACCCAATGATATATGTATATGTATTTATGATATATCAAAAATCACATAACATCTTCTTTTCTTGGACCTTGTTCTTTGTGGCAAATTGTTTGGCAATTTAGGTAAAATGTGCGGCTAATATTTTATTTCCGCACCAAAAAAAAAAAAAAAAAAACAAAAGAACCAAGAACCGAAAAATTTGTTTCCAATTTGGTAAGAGCTTTCAACAAATTTCCGACCTGACCAAACTCAACCGTTAATATAATATAAGTGAGAGGAGTGGTGGAGGCCAGGCCAACTTGAACACGCGGCCAGAGCTACATTTGAACATTTAGTTAAATTATAGGTTAGACTCTGACATAAAAGGGCAAACAACGTAGCATAATGGCCCATGGTAGCAATCACAAGGGGTCGGACCCGAGATCGCTGGATATAGATGGTCGGGAGAAGGAGGAAAGTCAGGAGGCAGGAGGCAGTCGTCGAATCCCTCACATAACAAAATGATTATTGCAGTGAATGGAGCTGCAAACACTGAGAGAAATACCTAACTAATCATGGGAGTTTCTTTTTTGAAGATTATAATATATTTAACATAAAAGGGAAGTGGTGTTATGTATAACCCATACATTTCTTTACAAAATCATTTATAATATTTTATTTTCTACAAAGAATTTGATATATTTAGTAATAATTAGTGTGGCCAAGTAAGACTGTGTTTGTAAATAAGACCGTACTGCTTCCGGAGGACCTTTGCCGAAGATAGTGTTTATATGTATATTCTTCTGTATGATAACTTGATATCTATTCCTTTACTTTCCATAGATTTTAAGTTTAGAGATAGCTATCAAAAGGTCAGGGGTTCTTTAATGTATCTATATAATATTTAATTGTAATATTTAAACTCCCTGTTTCGTGCAGTGCACAACAGGGAGCTGGTGGCCAGGCTGAGAGGGTTAAACTGGAGGTGTGCGCTCCTCCTGTCCCTCCGACCTACCCCTTCCCTAACCATCTTGCATTGTGTTGGAAATTATAGCAAATTATGTTAAACGGCAGCGCGTTTGGCCTCCCACCTGCCCTCCCCCTTTTTTCTTTTTCTTTTTGGAAAAATGTTTATTCTCTTTTCTTTTTTTTTCTCTTTGCTTGCTGCTCATTTCGTCAATTGAGCGATGAGAGGCGGGATTCGGGTATCAAAGGGGTCATATATAAAATATATAATAATGGCATGTCGGAGGGGGGCTTAAAGAGAAGTCATCGCCTTCTCGAGAGAAATACCCCTGTCTCTCTCTATCCCTCTATCCCTCTCTCCCTCTCCAAATGTGTGTCACGTTTCTGTGTGCTGCCTTTGATTGATATGATTGGATGTGGTGCGATTTGGTTAAAGATACAATACCTATTCCAATTCCGAATTCGAATTCGTATTCGGTTTCATTCATGGTTAAATTAACCCCTTGTTGGCCCATTGTTTGGCATGTTTGCTGTGGCTACCATTTTTCCTAGCTTTAGTTTTATTTTTATTTTCCCGAGTTTTTTTCTTTCGGTTTTTGCTTCTCTTATTTTTTTTTTGGTTATTTTGTTAAATTAG